TTATGTCCTTTCCCTTCAACCCACTAGTGCCAGAACTTAAAAATTATAAATAATTACAGGGTGAGATAAAAATCTCAGTAACCAATATAGCTCATTTAATGTCTATTACCACAAAAAACCATGTCAGAGTAACAAAACTAAAATAATATCAATTATATATCAATATATGAAGTTATTTCATCCTTTCAAGGATTTTCACACAATTATACATTAGCATAATCATCTAGCCACCGAACCTCCAATGTTTTCTGACACGAAACCATAGGCTATCCTAGCCCCGAGCATACTTTTGATGGTAGAAACACCCGACCAAAGGTAATCTAACCCACTTATGGACTATAGTTTCCCTTTTCACACATTTATGATAGAGGCGTCGTTGACTCCTAACCGCACCTTAATAGGCACTAGGGAGTTGCCAGATTGGCCAGATATCCTATGGTAACAATCCCATAATATGATGTATCAAATTACCCATGGTAACAGCCTATATAACATTACACTGGATGTCCCATGGTGTCAGCCCGATCATATAAATTTTTTACTCATTACTCCATACACACATCCCCATATATCCTGAGTAAACTATCACTTCCTATGATCATGCTTTTTTCACAATTATCACTACTTTTCTTTACATATAATGTCATAATGAATATATATATATATATATATATATCAATTGAAATCAAAAATCATTCAGATTTCATTTCATAAACTAATGTTCATGCTAAAACCATTTTCAATAGAAAATCATACATAAAAAAACTCATAAAACCACAATTTCTCATTTGGTATTTACTTCTATATAGTTATAATAGTTAATAAATATAATAAATTATATGGTTACCTCAACCCTTCTGTTTACTAGAAAGGGGTTACTTGTGTTCCAACAACCCTATTCAAGCTCCTTTTTCATAATTTGCACATCGTACACTAGAATTTATACAAAGTTGGCAAATCAAAGTCAATTTCACAATTAATAAAAGTACTAATTATCACAATTAAGCACCTAATTGATATCAATTCCATAATTTATACTCGATTACGCGCATTACCACTGATTACCCCTCACTACAAGCTTTAACTTTTTTTAGGCAAATTTCTCTCACTACTTTCTCTAGATTGCGGCAAATCATGCCTATAGTTTCAAAGCTTTATCACTCTGACTCAAACTAATCACAAAGTACCAGTTTAGTTTCGGAGAACCATTCTATTATTATAGGGTAAGAAGTCTAATCTTTAAAACTCCTGAATTCAATTTCTCACTAATTAAAACTAAGAGAAAATAGGGTAAAATCATAGGTTAAGGCAATACGAGACTTACCTGATAAGTAATAAGTCAGAAATATCATCCTTGCTCCCAAAACCACTTATCCTAGCACAGCCTCTTCTCTTTTCCACACCAGAACCACTTTCTTATGTTCTTCCTTTCTATTTCACGAGCTGGACATGTCTTTATTAACCAAAGTTCTATACCATGCGCTATGGCGGGGGATAGATGCGTAGCGGTGCATGGCACAGTGAGGAAAATCCTCACTATACTCATATGCTCTTCTTTGAAATTCTGCCCTTTTGCTTTTATTTATTCAATTAATATTCCAATGAGTCAAAATAATACTTTACTACTCAAAACTTTAATTCCACATTAAATCACTAACTAATTCCCTAACTGGTCATTAATGTAGGATTAGAAATTCGAGATGTTACATCTTGACATACGGCACAAAGAGATCTTCCTTTTGCCTGTTGTCACACGTGTATTATGGCGGAGGTTGTGAATGCCGTGACATGTGGTATAATCCCATAATTCTTTGATTTTCTCACTTTTAGGTGCTTAAGGATCGTGGGATTAAACTACCCATTAGCTACATTTATCAATTATTTTTTTAATAAAATTACCATCGATACAATCAATCGCTGCTGATGAGGTCTCCAACAATGATCTAATGATTGCAAATTAGAAAAGATTTTATTTTGCTGATAATTGTATTTAATGGCAATTCAAGGTAGTTAGGACTATATGCTTAATCTTTGATATCTACATAAAAAATTAAAGGTCCCTTCATTCATTTTATGATCTTTTTCTTGAGATAATTATTTGAGTTATCTCATGTTCCTTTGAAAGATTCCAATTTGACTCATTGATAAAATCTTTAAACTAAAGTTACTCATCCTCATATTAGTATCTTTGACTTATACCCCTATGAACTCTCTTTGTCTATGCATCTTCATATCAATATCTTTCTTTCACATCAGTATGACTGCTTCATATCATTCTTATTCTGTTTTACCTATGTATACATATATCTATTATGGTACGAATGAGTTCTTGGGGTATATCTTTATTACATTGGTATAACTCTTAATCTATTACTGTTTTTTTATGTAAAGTTATTCCGATATATTGTCTACATACCTGCATGACATTCTTTAATATATGTTCATATTCATGCCGGTATATCTATGAAGATTTTATCTTTATTTTACATTCAATTTATAAAGCATCTCAAAGCTATCTCATGTGTTAATCTTTTTAGCTTTTAAGTATTGTGTTTACTCTTTTAACTGTTTAGAATCTGTTTAAATACAACCATGGATTAGATCAAACACTTACCCAATCTTTTGATTGATCTTCATACTCGTATGTCTTTGCTCTATCAGTATTAGTCTCTTTTACCTTTTGTTAGAGAATTTAATGTATATACATATTACTTTCCTTAATTTGTCGATAACTGGCAATAATGTTGAATGGATTATTTTTCTAGCTTGTTAAGGCCTGAATGGACTATTATTTATTTTGAATGAGGTGTTGTCAAAACTTAAATAGGTACTTAATGTTGATGATTAAAAGCATAGATCTAATGGAACAAGTGTATAAACAACAAGCCATTCATGTTTTAATAATTACTCATTCTAAATTAACAATAGTCTATTTGAGTTTAAACGAATTAGAAAAATGGATAAGAGGAGAATAATTATACGTATTAATCTTTTATCAATAAGTATCCATTTAAACTTTAACAACAACTCATCTTAAATTAACAACAGTCCATTCGAGTTTTAACAAGTTAAAAAAATAGATAGGATAAGCATAATTGTCTGTGTTAGTCTTTTATCAATAAGTATCCATTTGAAATTTAACAACAACTCATTCAAAGTTACCAACAATCTATTCAAGCTTTAACAGGTCAGGAAAACAAATAAGATAGGTTTAATTATACAAATGTTAGTTCTTCATCAACAAGTATACATTTAGATTTTTATAATAATTCATTTAAAATTAACAACAATCTATTCTTTTTTAATAAGTTAAAAAAACTGATAGGATAGACTTAATTATACAAATATTAGTCCTTCATCAACAAATATATATTTATGTTTTCACAACAATTCATTTGAAATTAACAGTAATTTATTCAGATCTTAACACATTAAAAAAACTAATAGAATGAGTTTAATTATTTGTGTTAGTCATTCATCAACAATTATTCATTCAAGTTTTGACAACAACCCATTTGTGATTAATAATAATATATTCAAACTTTTAACAAGTAAAATGCATAAAATTTTAAAACTCTTAATTTGTAATTATTCACGTCAGATTAATAAATAATAACAATGAAATAATAAGTGCCATTCAAGAATTAACTCAAGAATTAACTGCACATTGTTATGTCATAACATGAAAGTAATTAGAAGCTTGATTTATTACTTATATATATATATATATATATATATATATTTTATCACATATATTTAAAGGGCTTAATGGCTACTAAGCCACCAAGCTTTTTAAGTGACTAAGGAGTCATGGCATCAAACCTTCCCTTAGCCATCTTTATCAATTATTCTTGAATAAAAGTGTTATTTGCGTTAGAACTCCTATGATTACCAGTGGCAGAGGCTTTGGTGCCAGCAACAGCTGGGGTGGCTATTTTTTTTTAAATTTGAAACTTTAGTGACAATTTGGTCATTTCATGTAAAAAAATTAATATTAGTCAAGAATTAAGGGACTATAGTATAATTTTAAGATCTATTAATCTCTGATTAATATAATTTTCTTTAATGATTCTTGGCTGATATTTTCCCAAGCTGAAAAAAATACAATAAAAATAAATCATGCCATGTTTTTATGGGCCCCTGTGCATGTTTTTGCTGGCCAGCACCCCAGGGTGAGCAGCCCATGTATTTTATGGGCTAACAATCCAATGCTATTTGAAGGGTGCAGATTGTGACTTTTATCATCCAAGTTGTTAATTTATTGTCAGGGTAACATATAAATTTAAAAAATTTTGTCAAGAAAAAAGTTTCGAAACATCAATGCATCATATCAATCATCATCGATACATTATCTAAAAATTACATGGTTCATTTATCAACTCTCGTGGAATCAAGTTCCCAATCTCTACCTTTACAAATCGTGACGACGACAAACAGATTTCAAAGATTAAAAATTTGAGACAATCGCGGTCTCATGAGCAGATATTTTTGCTCCCTAGTTTCTGTTCTTTTCATATTTCCGCCGTTTGCAATATTAAGGACCCTTACTTTTAGTTTGTTGTAAAACACTTTTCATAAAAAATACTATCTAAAAATAAAATACACAGTACTATCACTTGTTTTTCAAGTGATTGTCATTTATTTTTTCAAATTATATATATTTTTAACGAAATTTAAAATTAAATTTTGTATCGAAGTATGTAAACTTGGAATTGAAGTTATAAATAACGATGCAAAAATCGAGAAAAATAATGAGGCTGCATAATTTTTTCTTTTTTGCAGCAGCCTGCTTGAATTGAGTTATCCTGTTTTTCTAGTAATTGACATTTACTTGTTAGGTTCAAATAAAAATAAGTAACTCTTTTTTTTTCCCTTTTTCTTTTTAAATTGAGTTATACTGTGTTTGTGATACTTTTTTTAAAAGGAAAAAATGAAAAATAGTTTTGTTGGTGATAAAAAATAAAAAATAGGCAAGAGAGAGAAATGAGAGGATGAATGTCTACGAGAACATGATATTTATTTGCCTCAATATCTTGTTTCGGGGGTTCGATAATTGGATCGGATCCACTGCGTGGGATAATTCTATCTCGTTAGTTGAGGGAAAAAAGAACCGAAGCTGGTATACAAGTATCGAGATAACCTGCTTCGGCTGAAAATTCTATTCTTTCAAGGTGGTTTTTCCATGTTTAGTTTAAAAGGTTCAGCCTTGAACCCTAACAATCCATTTTATGCTTCAGACAGTCCGGCAATTCCTAGTCCAAGGTTGCTTGTGCATTCATGTTCATTACTTTTCTCTGATTATTTGCCTTCCGTTATATTCTGGCTAGTTCTTAACTCCGTTCACCGTACTGGGAATACGAAATAGTTGTTTTAATTCTATATCGCGTTTGCTTTTATGAATACACAAAACATCACTAGTGCATCGCCACTTTGCAGAAAGTTCAAAAACACGGGTTTAAGTCTCGTGGCATACTGGGAATATGAAATTGCAATAAGCTATGACATCTTTTGGGTGAGGCTGAGAGATGGTATAGAACAGTGACATTTGGAATTTGTTCTTGCGATCCCTGCAGAGAAATATGGATATTTGCCTTCCATATTTCTATTTCTCTTAATGTGCGTGTGTTCCCCCCCGCCCTCTTAAAAAACAATGGGATTCATGTTGATCTTTGTTTTGCTCATTGCATTCACAAGGAAGTCCTGGAGATATGCATAGAGATTTGGACTGCTCATTTACACTTTTCAAGTCTTCTAGGACTTCATTACTCATGTCCTTGGATTGTATTGTCATCCTAGAGGATATACAATATTTTTTCTTGAATAGAGCGTTTCTTTATCCAAAGGGAGACCCCCTTTTTTGCATCCCCTTTTAAGCACCTTGGGCTTACTGTTTTCTTAAAGCTTCTCTGCGTAGGAGAATATCCTATCCTCCTCTCTTTTGTATATCCCCTCTTTGCTTTCTAGTTATGTTCTCTGTTTACCAAAGAAAATTTAGATTATGCAATTTCCTGCTGAAGTGTCGCTATTTGCTGAGAAAGGCTTTTCTTCTTTAAGCTGCTGGACAAGAGAGTTATGATGGATTTTGATGAATACGAGTACTTAGAGAAGACAGTTGAAAATCCTGAGCTTCAGAGGAAGGAGAAAACCAATGGTAGTGATGGAACTCTAAAAGCTGAACAGAGAGACCATAGTCGGAGTTCAAAGCATAAAGCTAGTGAGAAGCATCATGATGTTGATCGTCATTCCAAGAAATTAAAATTTGGAGATGATTCTCATGGTTATGACAATCACAAAGAAAGAGGGTCATCTCGGCATCGTTCACCATCCAGAGATGGAGATAAGGAGAAAGATCAGCACAGAAGCTTCCGTGACAATAGGGATAGGGTGAGAGATCATGAGAGAGACAAGGAGGAGAAGTATAGTAGAGAGAGGGATAGACACCAAGAACATGCCCGTGAACGAGAAAGAGACAAAAGAGACTGGGGGAGTGAGATTGAAAGAGAAAGGGAGAGGGACCACTCACGGCGAAGCAGAAGTATATCTGAAAGGCATCGGAGTGATCTGGATGAAAGATATAGTGAGAGGAGTCGTGACAGAGACAGAGAAAGAAGCCAGGACAAGGATCACAGAGACAGAGAAAGGGAGAGAGAATCAAAGGAGCGAGACAGGGATAGCAGGTACTTTTATGTTATTAAGTGCGAACATTAATATGCTGATGATTATTTGGCTACAGTAGGGTTTTATACCAAATTTCCGGAGTTGTTTCACCTACTGTGGATCAGCGGAGGACTGTTCAATTTAAAATTTCCTTGTACTTGAATTTGTTAGAATGCAGTTGTACGTAGTGTCAGTCCTAGGTGGTAGCCAGCTTCTAAATTATGCATATTGAAGTCCAACCTGTATTTTGTGTTTGGAAATCTTCTAGACAGCTAGAGTTATAATAGTGTTCTTTGGTTTGGTCATTTCTTAATCTCATTGGTTTTGAGATATTCTCTGTTTTTTTTTTTGGCAAGTTCTTTCTCTTTAGTCCCCTTCCTTCGGTTGCTTCTTATATACTCTTCTTTTCCTGTCATCTTCATTGTCATTTTTATTTAAGACAGCTATGCTTAAATTAATTGCCTGTGTGTGATCTGGTTGGTATTACAGTTCCTAAGGTTGGGCTTTTAACAGTGAGGCAACCATTATCCTTGCTATAGCGATTTAATCCCTTCTTTTGCGAAGATGCCATCAAGTTATCATACATCTCAGATTTTTGATTCAAAACTCAGTGACTGCTTTATGTTGTTGATTGTTATAGTGATTTCTGCATTCCACTTGGCAAACTCAAAAGGCCTCTGGAGATTTCTGACCTGATTCTGAACTATATATGTTAGAACCAATTGCCAAGTGAACAAATTATTAAGGTTGAAGTGGCGATGTAAAAACATAACGATAAATTCTCATGTCTGGTGCTATTAAGCAAAGAAGTTATCCTCTTGGCTTAGAAAAGTGTAGTTCCCTCATTTTTTAGATGGCTATTAATCTCTTTCGAGTCTGATATGATACCAGTTCATTATTAGGGTTGTTGCTCAAGAATTTTATGTCCGTGTTTGTGACTTAGGTTCTCTCCTAGCCTTCTAATCTCTCATCTCTCTGTTGTGAGGATCACTATTTGATTGCTTAACAGGCTATGTAGATGATAGCATCAAAACTAAATTTGAGAATAATGGTTTCTTGAGTTGCATATAGTTAATTGTGCTGTTTAACAGTCTTAAGCTTCTGAATATTGAACATTAGATTCTGGGAACTCGCAGATATGGTAGAGCAATCTTCAGATGGTCTTTCTGGCAATTGGGCCAGGCACAGAACCTCAGATCATGGGTTTCAAAGTTTCTCCCTTCCGGGGTGTATCTGAAAGCATGCATTGCAGGATTGGGGGGATTTGGATTTTTTGTAACAGCCATGATATTGTCATGTTATTTGTTTTCTTCAACTTTGAGCACAATTGCCTTATTGCATTTATTCTGTTGCAGAATGTTGGTGAGGGAGTGATGGGCTATTAATTGTAAAATTACAAGATTTTAGAAGGTTTTCCAAACAGTGTTCCTTGCGCTTCTTCTTTTGGCGGTCTGAGTCAATGACTTTTGTAACAATCAGAAGAGCTCTATCTATTTCTGTTGTCTATGGCTTGCTTTGGCCACTCTCTTGTAACATTAAATTCTCTTATTAACATCTTTGGCAACTTGAATTTGAATTGATCTGACAAACACAGATCTTTTAATTTAAATAATCTGGGCTTGAAGTTCTTTCTCCATCATGTGCTTGGCTTCTTTTGTTAACATTATGTACTATATTTTCTCTCTCAATTTTTTCTTTCAAATTGATCATGTCACTAGTGACCTTTAAAATAAATTTGGCCATTTTGTATAAAACCAATGTTAATGTTCATGCTTGTGTTTCTCTTATCATTTATAGAATCTTTTAACAGATTTCAACTTAAAGTAATTAGGTCCTTTGTATCAATTCAACTTGGTGATTCTGTATTCCTACAAGATTTTGCTTTGTTTATAAAGATAGTAAAATCCTGTGTTAATGGCAATTGGATGACATTCTTTTCCTGGATCATCATCTACCACATTCTCCACGTCTTGCTCATTTTTGGGTCCAAGATCAAATTCTTAAAAATTTAAACCTGTCACTTGTGGCTTTTAACTTTGTTGTTCTCCTAAGGCCTATGATTTATGGAATTGAGCACCTAAAAGAAAACAAAAGGGAAAAAAAAGGTAATTTATAGTTGAGCTCCCAATGTGTATGCAATATGCAGTAGATGTTATGCCTTACGTTCTTTTCATCTGAACTGCTATGAAGAAGTTGCTGATAACCTAACTTGAATCATAAATTTGTGCTTCTATTATCCTACAGACGACAAAAAGAGAAGAAGGAAGAAGTGGCAGAACCTGAGGCTGACCCTGAACGGGATCAGAGGACTGTGTTTGCTTATCAGGTACTATAAATATGTTGGAAGGCATTTTATTGGTGCGATTGCATTATCTTGTTCATTTTCTTCCAACTCTAATATGTCAATTCATATCAGATATCTCTGAAAGCAGATGAAAGAGATGTATATGAGTTCTTCTCAAGGGCTGGCAAGGTAATATTCCATTTACTTTCTTTGTTAATATCGGAGTTTTCTCTTTTTTGTATTTTTGTTGGCAATTTGACATCAATCATTGAATGTAATATTTGAAAGTAAAGTGAGGTATGAAATAATATTTGGGAAAGGGATCTGTTTCCTGTTGACCTTCAAATATAACATCTCATTTCTTTTTAGTATGAGTGCTAGATGATATATATATATATATATATATCTCTCTCTGAAACTCACAGCACATTTATTTGATTTATTGCCAAAAAGGAATTGGAAGAAATCCAATATTTTCAGCTGTTAATAACTTAGATGTCTCAATTGCCTGTGGGATGCAATGTGTGCTTTCGTCCAAGTTATTTATTATGCCTTGAATTTGTTTTTTTCAGGTGCGAGATGTTCGCCTGATAATGGACCGCATTTCCCGTCGATCTAAGGGTGTTGGGTAGGCATTACATACCTGTGCCAAGTTGTTTGCGTTTAATCAATTTGATTGTGCTCTTCATTAGGCCTTCTAATTGTTTAAAGTTTAAACTAACTTTCATGTTGTTACCATAGTAAAATTTTGGCTTTGAGCTTCAATTCAACTTCATGGACAAAAATGTGTATAGTGAAACGTTCAGAATAGATATTTGGTTGAACATAACAGTAAACGAAAAACATGTTGTACCTCTGCAAATAAACTGACTGCGTGATTCAATTGGAGATTGTCCAAAGTTAGAGGCTCTTCAATAAAAAAGGAAAAAAAAAAACTTCAGTAAGATTAATTCTGTGAATGTCACCGCAGGGAGGGACAGGATAATGTTTTCTCTTACAAATCCTCCATCTTAATAATGGACTTGCTTTCCTTTCAACATGCACACCGATCTATTATGTCTTTTGAATATATGATGAATGGGATTCTGTATTTAGAAACGTGCATGTTTCATTCACTATTGCAAGGATTTTCTATTAATTCTCAATTCTGAGATGAATTTTTCTGCGATCTGGATTAAATTAAGCTGCAGTTTCTGGAAGAGCTCGTGGATTCCATTTGATCTATCTTCTTGATCTATGATGTTAACTTATGTTGAAACATGCACGTTTATTCACTATTGTATTCATTTATTGCTATATACCTTGTGTTTTAATGCCATCCAACTTGTGTTCTGGTTCAGGTATATTGAATTCTATGATGTCATGTCTGTTCCCATGGCAATAGCACTTTCTGGACAGCCACTTCTTGGCCAACCAGTGATGGTGAAGCCATCAGAAGCGGAAAAGAATTTGGTTCAGTCCGCTACATCTATATCTAGCGGATCCACTGGACTTCTTGGCCCTTATTCTGGGGGAGTGAGAAGGCTCTATGTTGGCAATTTGCATTTCAGTATTACTGAAGCTGATCTGCGTAGGGTATGTGCTCTGTGTGTGTCTTTTACTCATCCATGGAAATGTAGGAATGCATCGCATAACTGATTCTCTTGGTTTGAGTTTCTTTGCTAATAGGGGCTCTCATGGTATTATGCAATGTAGATTATTTTATTTTATTACTGCAGCTCCACCTTTGCCTTCAGCTGTCCCCCCTCCCCTAATTTTGTGTTCGTTAATCAAATTCTTAGGTTTTTGAAGCATTCGGTCAGGTTGAGCTAGTCCAGCTGCCTCTTGATGAAGCTGGGCACTGCAAAGGTTTTGGCTTTGTGCAGGTGAATCTGATGATAACTAATAATTACTGCTTTGTTATGAGCTAATTCTATCATTGACATTTATAAACCATGTTTTTAGCAACACCGCACTTAATTGCTCAAATTTTAGGGGGGAACATTGAGGTTGAAGCATTGAGCTCACAGAGTTGAGGGATAATTTATATTAGGGAGAATGACAAAGAGGTCCTTGGAGGATCAATTAATCCAACTTAAATCCTAAGTCCCAAACTCCAAGAATTTGTAAGTTTGGCTCTCAATTTTGTAACTTCATTATGATAAATTTGTAACTTGTGTTTCAAATTTTAATGGGGAAAACAAATTTGTTTATTCTTTAACTATGTTAAAATTTGAAAATCAAGTTGCAAATTCATAAGAACAAAATGTCAAAATTGAGAAATGAACTTGCAAATTCTTGAAAGTTGGTATTTGGGACATAATTTGAATTAATTGGTCTTCTTGGGACCTATTTGTCATTGCCCCTTTATATTATTTGATCAGATCAAGCCATTAAAGACTATTGAATAATTCAATCATAATGCTTTTATGCTACATGACTTTATGTGATGCTTCCTGCAATGCGCAAACCTTCTGGAACTTTTATTTAACTGAAACAATTGTTTAATGCAGTTTGCATGCCTTGAAGACGCAAGAAATGCCCAGAGCTTAAATGGACAACTGGAAATTGGTGGCAGGACAATTAAGGTATTTCATCTGTTTTAATCATAGATCTGACATCTGAGTTCTTTAAGCTTTCTTAAGCTAAAATTAGACGTTTTTATTTTCCAAACTTTGATTGATTGTTCTCTTGGGGGATTTACATTAGTGAAATGTCAAAATGAGCATTGGAGGTATGTCAGAAGTGTTTGGAAGTGTTAGGATTGTAAATAATGTAACTATATTGACTATTTCTATTTTAGATATTTCATCAGGCTTTTATGTTCTTTATTGTAATTTGGTATGTTAGAGCGGCCTTCGTTATCTATGCCCATCTACTTTGACACATTCAAGACAATCAAATTGAAATTCCGTAGTCTCTAGTTGACGGTATGGATGAATTTTTTTGTTCTTTTTTAGTCCAACGGTATTAGATGCATAATTTGGGGGTATACTGTATTTCAATTTTCAGGATCAAGCTGTTACATTTACTTTATAAGGATAAGCCTAGACTGTGTTCAATGCCCTTTCCATTTATTAATAAAGTTAATACTTTGTCAGTTGTTATTGCGCCATGGGGACCAAGGATCTCTTGGTCTTCAGACTCTACCAAGGTTTTAGTTACAGGAGGCATGGATTGGTGGATAGTCTAATATAATTCTTAGAACATCAATATTGTGGCTATGGAAGCTATTAGGTTATGATGCTCTGATGTATAAACTAACAATACATAATATACAATTGCCAGTGGAATAGACATCCTGTTATTCTCGTTAGGATAGATTAAGTTTTTTCCAACCTCATTCCTGCGCATTTTTTATTCCTAATATAGGTATCCGCAGTTATTGATCAAACTGGAATGCAAGAAGTTGAAGGAAATACTGGTGATTTGGATGATGATGACAACGATGGTGGTGGCTTGGTGGGTAATCTGTTACTTGAATATATTACTAACCCTTTTTTTTTTTCCCAAACATGTATCTCACTAAAATTAGGTCTTGATTTAAAAGCACGCATGAATCTCTACCAACACATTTAACAAGTGATGTTAACCATGTTTTGTTAATGCGGTCATTTTGTAATGAAATGTGGTTACTGGTTACTTTTTCATATTATAGTATTTTGTTTAGGCTTCTAGTTGTTGAATAGTGGGGAAGCTTGTGTTATTTCAGCAAATTCGTGGGGATGGAATAATTTTGATAATAATGGGAAAAGAGTTCTCATGTGAGTAGTTTCTAGTTTATTAATTTTAACAAGAAAATTGAATTATCAAACGTGACGCTGTCAGAGGTTGTGTCAATGTTTATTTTGGAATAAGGGAAACTGGTTTTGATACAAATTTATGATCTAGCTGACTTACATTCCTTTTTCAGTCCCTAAACGCATGTTCTCGAGCATTACTCATGCAGAAGTTGGATCGTAGTGGCACTGGATCAGGGTTTGTCTGAACCTTCTTGTTTATTTGTTTCGATCTATCTTAATTTGAGATCTAAATATATCTAACTTCATACGTATTTGTGGACAGTATTGCTGGTTCCCTGGGTAATTCTGTTGCCAACAACATAGGGCTTAAACTACCAGCTACAGCACAAGTGGGAGCTTCGTCTGCGGGTTCTCTACTGGTTTCTCCAATTGCTTCGGTTCCTTCAGCAGTTGGGTTGCCAAGTGGAAGTCTACAAATTCCTGCTGCTGCTGCTACAATTCCTACTATTGATACAATTGGCGTTCCAAGTGGATGCTTATTGTTAAAGAATATGTTCGATCCCAAAGATGAGGTGGTCAGATTGCACCTACACTATGAAATTTTTTTAATCATAATTCTGTTCTGTTCTATGATATCACTAACATGTCATGTGCAACAGAAGGAACCAGATTTTGATTTGGATATTAAAGAAGATGTTGAAGCGGAATGCTCTAAGTTTGGAAAGTTAAAACACGTATATGTTGACAAGTGAGTAGAGGAGTGATCCACGTGTTCCTTTTTTTCCCCCCTCCAAAAGACTAGAAGCTGGCAGCACATATACATTTAGTCGTTTATTGTTTATTTCATTTTCTTTGATAAACAGGAACAGTGCTGGCTTTGTCTACTTGAAATTTGAAAATACTCAAGCTGCGATACTTGCACAGCGGTCACTGCATGGGAGGTGGTTTGCTGGGAAGATGATCACTGCTAGCTTCATGGTAACGTTTGACTGGCTGGATTTCTTAAATTTGTCATTGTCCGCATATTGACAGCTAATTAACACCATTTCCTAGCCCCATAATTAATTGAATCCTTTATATGTTTGCAGGTGCCTCAGGTATATGAGGATAAATTCCAAGACAGCAGATAGGATAATTAAAAATGGAGAAGGAAGTCAAGATGTTTGTTGGATATTTCTTTTCGTTGAAAGAGCAGGCCTAGTAATGGTTACGAGTGGGAAATCTTTTGGGGCAGTATTCATCCTCTAGATTATACCATTCATGGGTTCCTTAGAGACAAGGTTTACCACTTTACCCAGGTCATGTCCAAATCCACATCATGGAACTTTCATTTGCCGTTTGTTGAGTAAAAGGTGCTGTTTCTAGGATCAGCAGTTATTTCAGTAAGCTATTTTTGAGATGTAGCTTGAGCGAGTTTGAAATCCTATTCCTTTGACTCTTCTTGGTTGGTTTTGTTTTTGTCTGAATACTTGTGACGCTTTGCAACATTCATGCACCAAACTTCAGCACATGGCCATCTCATGAAAGTTTTGATGTGTAAGTTTCTCATCTTTCGTGTCTTGAAATCATATATTTCTCATATTAAACCGTTAAGCTCAAATTATCGCTGAAGATGATTGCAGAGAAACAAAGCGGACTTAGACGCCGTTTTGAACCTTTTCTTTCTTTCTTTCTTTCTTTTTTTTAATTATCAAAAGAAGCTCCTTCTCCATTTCCTCTTTCAGCCCGGCAGAAAGGTTAAACAAATAGACCATGTAATTTATATTCTCTCTTCATTCAGCTCAGTCCAAAACGGGATTTATTTATTTTAGCATTATTTTTTATCTTATTAAATATGAAAATATAATAGCATTGTCATTTATTTAATGCTGCAATGGAACTTCCTTATCAGTTATTAGTATTACCACCTTGATTGTAACTTCTACGAAGCAAGCATGTGAATTTAGAACATAGTTCGTGTCTTGTTGGATCTTTCTCGTTAAAGCTCAATGACTCTCTCTCTGTCTTATTGGATCTTTCTCATTGAAGCTCAATGCTCTCACCTTTTTTTTTTTGGGGGGGGGGGTGTGGTGGTGGTGTTGGGGGGCGCGCCTGACTCGCAGCCTTTTAACAGCTTCCTAAGCATGTTATATAAATAAATAATAAAAAATTCCCAAGTAAATTATGAAATTCCGTCTTATAAAAAAAAAGATGTTAAGAAAATATGAAATTTAGTTAAAATTAGTTCATGTTTTAAAATTTATCTGATATTTTACTCATTTCATGCTAAAATACGCGTTAGTCTGTTACTTTACATAGATCAAGAAAGCTGATATAGAGCTTAAATTTTAATAAAATATGATGATATCTCAGTAAGTTATCCTTGTTTATTATAATGTTTAAAGCAAACACTTGCAATTGAAATAACCAAACTTTTTTAAGTGACAATTATTTTGAAACAAAGGGCACAATAAATTTTAATATTGTTCTAGAGAAGAAGCACTGAGTAAATATAAACTTAAAATTTGTGGGGGTTCAAATAAATATATAATCATCTCTATTATATTGTTAGACTTAGACCCTCAGGCCACAATGCCTCAATAAACTACTAACCAATTAGCATCCAGAAAAAACAAGAATATAAAATTACTCTAAATCACCATATAAAAACGTCCTACCTAGCTAAATAAGTAGTCTTTGTAGCAAAATCTTTTGATAATGAGATTTGATATTTCAGTTTGCAACACCATTCAACTTTACTTAATTTTCTATTGAAGTAGTTGAGCTTCTTTCAATTTATAAAAAATGAGTTATTTTGGGTGTTGCTAAAATAAAAATAGTTAAATTAAGTAAGTTAAGGTGTTAGAAAAAGAAAGAAAATTAAGGTCGTTTAAATTACCTAAAGTAACAAACAAAATATATTTAAAAAAATATCAACTATTTTATAGATAAATAAAAATTAAACAATAAAAACGAAAATTAAACTATTCTTATTTTTCACCAATGTTATATTATTTAAAAATATATATTTTTATCATGGAAAATAATCTATAAAGTTTAAAATGTTATTTGTTAATTTAGCCATATTAATTTTTTAAAAATAAAATATTTAAATTATTGTCGTTACTTAATTAGAGCTACATTGGTAAAAATAAATTTTTTAAACAAAACTAAATTAGCTGCATAACATTCGAAATTTGACTTTCAGACAAAAGATGAACCTAATGAAACGGACAAAAAAAAGAACCCAAAAAAAAAAAATCGAGTTTATATATACCAGAAAACAGGGGAAAAAAACAAAAAAATGATAGGAATGAAAAAAAAAAAAATCTATGTAAACAGCTGCGCTCTTGTCGGAGAATGGTTAGTTTTTAAAAAAAATGGATGCAACTTGAACAAAACATACAGATGTAAAGATTTGTTTGAAGAGAAAGAGCTATGAATGTCATGCATATAGATTCTTTACATTAAAATAGTCTAAACTTTAAATAACTTCACCCATCCATGTTAATATGCTTTGCGTCTGCCCCCTAATATGTGGAAAACAAGTTTATATAATCTTCTCATTCTCATACTTGGCATGCAAGGCTACTTTTCCTGCCTATCACCAAAGCAACCCTTTTATTTCTTTGCTTCCACTAGACTTGATATCTGTCTTTCTTTCAAAGGATTCCACTATTATTCTTCCCCCCCCCCCCCCCCTTATTCGGTCAAATAAAAATTATGGAGATATAGCTTCTAAATTACAGTACATGCATATATTACAAGGCACTTTTTTAGAAAAGATAGATGATTCTTGTTATAAATCCCTTAATGCGGCATTGATTGAGGTTTTTTTTATTTTTCAAAGTTGCTCATATTTAAAGTCATCAACTATAAAAGAATGTAATATAAAATTAAATTTTTTATTTAAATGTCAATAAAATTAAAACTTCATTTAATTTTAAAAAATAATAGTTTAATCATCCTCTTCAATTTCAATGAGATGACAAGGGATGCATCGCAATAAGAAAGAGAGAGAGCCTGGTGTTAATAATAGAATGATAATTCAATTTAAAACCCATTCCTTTTCTCTAATGGGCTAGGGTTACCGTTTTGCAGGATCTCTCCGACAGGCCTAATCTGGAATTGAAAGTCATCGCAATCCAGATGGAATATACAAGGGTAATCAAGTCATTTCACCACTATGGAATAAATTGTAAGAGAGGAAGCAATTGGATTCGATGAAATTACTTATGTGCCCCTACAACGCAGCATATTTAACACAATGCTGCAGGTGCTGTCCATTTCTCTGTTTCTCAAATGTTGTTTCTTCCTCCTCTATGACCTCTGCGGTACGCACAGGCTATTCGTCTCTGGAAAACACGAGCTCTTCTTCTTCTCCTTCCTCGTCTGTTACTGATTGATTAATTTACTGGTCTTTCTTTTTTTTTCTTTTTTGTCAAGGTATTCTTGAATAATCTGTTATCGTGCCAATTTTTTTTTTTTTTTTTTTGAAGAAAGAAAAAGGTTAATGTTGGTGTTTCCTTTTTATATTCACATTCTCTTTCGTTCTGCAATTTCCTGAGGAGGCGGTGTAGCATCGAAATTCAGCTCATTCATTCATTTTTCTCGTTTTATTGGACGATCGATTTTTCTGATTTCTTATCACTTTCCCGTTTGTTTGCATTCTTTTGAGCTGCCCCAAAGCCTTTTCTTTATTTTTTTAATCTTTGCAGTTTGAATTTTATTTGGCAAAATGACAAGTATGATGCTATCAGATTCGGATACATGGTTTCTTTATGATTCTGTGCGCGTGCAGTTCAATCCGCAAACAAGTTTAAGATGACAACTAAACCAAATTTTTGTTTTATTATTTCATGTGATTTAGATCCTTTGCCCGTGTGGCGAGTGATTGTCAAACACTGGATGAATGCAGGCGTATTTCTGTCTTCTAGTTCTCCTTTTCTTTTGGTTCTTGTTACTCTATTTTTTCCCCGACTAAAAGAAAAGTTTTCCCATTGGCCGATGCGTAATTTATTGAGTTGTCATGTTTATGCCTTTTAATACTACTTTTCTTCTGGTTGCTGTCATTTTTTTTTTAAACTTCAGCTCTGAAGTGATTGCAGGAACTGCCCATTCATATAACTTCGGAATATTGGTCTAATATTATTGATACTAAAAGGAAAATTTCCCCCTTTCCCAATACGTAATTCGCTGAGCTATTTGTTTGTCAATATGCTATGTGTGAAATAAAGGGTTTTTTTTTTCCCTTCCCTTGAGGATGAGGAGGGTGGGCAGATTGATTGATTTTTCCCCCCTCTTTTTGGTTTTAAATCTTGGACAATATTCACCGAATATAGAGCATAAGTAGAACTGGTTAATAATTATTGTTTCTAACTATCTCTTGTTAATTTTAAGTTGAATGACAAGGCTTAAAATAACTATCTTGTGACATCTCTTTATATGCTTTCAGATGGGAGTTCAACAACATATAAATCTTTCTGAAGACAATGAACCTACTATGAATGATCGCCATGGTAATTTTTCAAGCCAAGGCAATCTTACAAGCGGGTTTCTTATCCAACCAAGTGTAAATACTGAAAGCAGTGTAGTTAACGAACCTGATGACTGTTCATGTCAGAAAAGTAATACCTCTTATATCTATAGGCAAGATGTTGTGAAGAATAATTCCAGCGGTATGATTGGGATTGTGACAGAAGTTGCTGGTGATTCAGATTCAGATAGTAGCATTACTGATGACGACGAGGACAATGAGGATGATATTGAGGAAGGCAATTGTGACAGCAATAATAATGCCAGTGGAAATTTGGATAGGACTGAGGGGCATTCTAAGACTGTTCCACTTTTGGCTGACCAGTTGCGGGTACTGTGGATGGATGAATCTGAATCCACCCAAAATTTTAGTGATGTAAAAGTTGTTGATAGAGGATTTTTACATGGGGATTTTGTTGCTGCTGCTTCAGATCCTACTGGGCAAGTGGGTGTAGTCTTTGATGTGAATATGTCTGTTGATTTGTTAACCCCTGATGGATCTGTTATAAAAGAGGTTTCAACGAAGGACTTAAAACGTATTAGAGATTTTACAGTTGGTGATCATGTGGTGCTTGGGCCCTGGCTGGGAAGAATTGATGATGTTTTAGATAATGTAACTGTCTTATTTGATGATGGTTCAGTATGTAAAGTCACCAAAGCAGATCCATTGCAACTTAAGCCAACTTCTAAGAATATTCTTGAAGACGGACACTTCCCTTATTATCCTGGGCAACGTGTGAGGGCCAGCTCTTCATCAGTTTTCAAGAATTCAAGATGGTTATCTGGCTTGTGGAAGGCTAATAGGCTGGAAGGAACTGTCACCAAGGTTACGGTAGGATCAGTGTTTGTTTATTGGATAGCATCCGCCGGTTATGGACCAGATTCTTCAACTGCCCCAGCTGAAGAACAGAGTCCAAAAAATTTAAAATTGTTGTCTTGTTTTGCACATGCAAATTGGCAATTGGGTGATTGGTGTCTCTTACCCTCATCGGCATTGTCATCCACAATTTCCTCAGAGAAAGGCATATCCAAAT